TCGAAATTATAGTGCTTTGTATAACACCTCGTAATCTACCGTAAATCTACTTTTTTACTGTTTTCTCAAAAATATAAATTTGTATGAAAATCCGCAGTCGAAATAGTAATGAACTTAACTTTGAATACTAATTTCTTTCGTGCCCAAATGATCTTTTCACGAATTTATTATTTGTCCACCGATCCTCACGTCTACAGTGAATACCAAATTGAAGTTAATTTTTCTCGAATATTCAAGTGGGACGCGAAAGGGTTAATGATACTTTTGCAACTTTCTCGACAATGATTTGTCCAAGCCTTCACAATCGCTATCGATATGTTTTTCGAACCCTAATGAAGCTAGCCTTAATGCCGGTGAAACGTTGCGACTGAAAAATAATCGAACACGATTTAACTCGTCGCTTCCTGAATTATGTCATTCCCGCGTTTTACTGCTATCTCTGTTTTACCGACAAAGTCGAGACTGTTTAAATCACACATACGCTAAGTAGAAATATTTTTTACGATCATTAGATCGTAATTGCACACGGTGTGGTACTTGTAGATTTATCCGAGGTGATTCGTTCGTTTGAACAGACGAGAGAGATGATTTAGGTGATAGCAGTCGAAGCTGGTTAGAGTTGGGAATATTTTACTTGTTATAAGGTCTATGATGTGCAAGTGTCAGGATAACTGGGTGTTCCTGCGAGAAGTTGCGTAAACTTTCTTAGTATACGTGTTAGATGAGAAAGTCGATAGCTTTGTTAGACTTGCTGATGGTTTTTACGGTTCGCTTGGCGTTTTGATGCGTCGTAAAATTCGACGGTTATTACAATAGCTTTATTGAAGCGAAGGCAGTTCGCTGTTAGGACACGGTGTCTCTGAGGAGGATCCACCTCTTCGATGAAGCTATTCCGAGGGTGGAGCGAAAGAAGAAATCTGTGTCGAACGATTTTTCGTGATCACAATTTTGTCGTGTTTCGATCAATTTTTAGAACGAAATTCAGTTCATTAACCCTTTGAAATTTGAAAATTATTTAGAAAAATTCTTATTAATCTGTCTTGAAATAACTATAATAGAACAGACACTATGAGAATTTTGAAAATAAATGTGACAAATTGAATATTTGATGAAAATTAGTTAGAACCTGACAAACACCTTTGTATCAAAATATATCAATTTGGTCTATAAAGGGTTAACTGTACATTTTCCTTAATTCTCATTTTTCTTCTATTTTTACCATCTGTCTCCAACGACATCCTGTGTACTTCATTTTCCGCCATTGTGTCAGAAATAACTCTCCAGGATCTTCGACGTGTCACCACAACTCGCTCCTTAACCACTCTCAACTTCACATTTCACTCGTTCAAATCCCCATAACAGTAGCAGCAAGAGCAGTTCCTCTTCCATCCTCTCCTATTTCAATTTCCAGGGTTCGTTCACACGTTCGATGTAACATAAACATCGTCATCAACACCACACGATCATCTCCAAAGTTAACGATCCTTGCCTGTTTCGTTCTCGTTAGATCAAGAGCGTGTGTGTATGTATGTGTCACCGTGATCCGATGAAATTTCACGTCACCATTCCACCCAGTTCGTTCCCTCGTTACCGAGGCAATCAAATCCATTCGGTTCGATTCTACAGGGAGATAGAGAGAGAAATAACGAAGAGCGATTTTGAAGAGGAGAGGGAGGACACGTTCTACTCTTTCTCTCTGTTTCTCAGGTCGACGCGTAATGAGCACGGCGCGGCGTCGAAATGCTTGACTTGCTTCGCGGAAGCAATAAAGGCTTTTAACTGTTTCTTTTGTACGCGTGTGCTTAACCTTTGCACCGTAGGAGCGTACGCGATCCTCCGAGATGCCCTGAAGCGTGATTTATTTCCAGCCGTTAGAGATCCATCCCTCCTCCCACTTTTGATAACGATCTAATCAGCGGAAAAGGAAAAAACGTGCCGCGTAAATCATCCGGCAACAGAGCCAGATCCAATGGAGCACGAAACGTAATTTCGTGTTGTTCGTTGCGGCTTCAGATCGGTCAGGATTGTAGAGGCTTTTCCATGTGGCCTGGTCTTCCTTCGATGGTCTCTCACAGACGAAAATTAGTTTCTAATCGATGGAGAGACGCGATCGAGGGATTTATTGGTGTTCGGTAGAATTTACAGGCTCGCAGTTTGCATGTTTATGGAAAATAGAAGAGTTTTTCTCTAACTCTTAAAGTGTTTGACCGATTTGGACCAAAATTTGCATAGCTAATCTGTAGGAGTTTGTGAAAAGTACAGGCTCTCCCTCTAATTTTATCACAGAGACAGATGAGCTTTGGTCGAAAAATAGGGACATTTACAGCGATTTTCTTTGCCAAATTTTCGAACGGGTCCTTGAAATACAGTTACTTGGCTTTGTCTACTTTATCGTTTGATTTTGAAACTAAATTAAGCTAAATTAGCATTATAAAATTCACAGGACACCGTGAAATAAAAGTTTGGTTAATTCGAAGTGAAACACCGGTCGATTATGTGCACACGATGATTATGCTCGCAGGAATAGGAAAGTGGAATGGAGGAGAAAAAGGAAAAGAAGAGGAACGGAGCCACGTTGAGGCTGTTCTTATCGCTAATTTCAATCCCGCCGTGGGCAGGAAAATCATAATCCTACTTTATGCTTCCTTCTGACTGGGAATCGTGGCTGTGTACGATGCTCCACACGGAGACCAGGAAACTCTCTGCCTTCGTGTTACCGTTGAACCACCGTATCGCTTTCCTTCTCGTGTGCGCCGCCTATTCGGCACGATTCGTTTTTCTCTCGTTCGCCCGGTTGCCACGCGTCGAATTGATGAATTTCACCTGGAGTTCGTAGAAAGGAGGAAACCAAAGACGAGACTGAAAAGCGAGAAAGTGTGGCTTGGCTGGCTTGGTTGCAGTGGGTCGAGCGCGCGAGTTTCGTATCACTCGAGCTCTGGATGCCCGAAGTGTTACACTTGTACCGAAATATGAGAAATGGCGAAAGAAAGAAAGAGGAAATTGAAAATGTGAACTTCAAGTTACACGTAGAAAAACTGATGTTTTCGTTGGACTCGATTAATGTCAGGAATGTGTAGTTTGAGTAAGAAAAAGAGTCGTATTCACGTTGTTCGACCCAGAGTCGGAGGATCCAGCAATTGTGGGAACTGAGACCACCCTAAAGTGGTAGAACCCGTCTCTGACCACCTTGACGTTGTGGAACCTCAAGTTGGCTGACCTCTCCGGGTCGTGGGATCCGCCTTGGGACGTTTCAGTGTCATAGGACCTTGATTTGCCTGGTCCCAGAGTCTTGGGACTTGTTCAGATCATTTTAGGATCGTGAGATTGATTTTGGGTCAATGGGGCTCGATGTTTTGGACCTTGAACTGTGGGCCCATTCTTGAACCCGGAATTTATGATACCGAGGTGGTTTAATTTGGGCCCCGTGACAGTTGTGAAATGGGTCTAATGACTCAGAAGTTATGGGTTTCGGGGCCTTACGGTCTCGAGGTAAGTCCCAGAATTATGGGGCGGAAAGAAAGTCTCAGGATCTCGAAGTTGGGTCTTACGGTTTAGTTGTAGTGGAAATTGGGGTATTAGAATTTCAATACGATCCAATTTAAGTCCCACGATTTGGATGTTACGTAAGTTAAGGGCCCAGAATCTTAAAGTGGTCCAACTTAAGTCCCAGGACTCGAATTTCGTGTAAATTAAGTCTCGCGACTCGGTGGAAGTGGAAATTAGGGTCCCAGAGTCTCCTAATGATTCAACTTCAGTCCCATAACTTAGAGGTAATAGAAATTAACGTCCCGGAATCTCGATGTTATCCATCTTGAGTCTCGACGACTCGATGAAAGTGGAAATTGGGTTCCTAGAATCTCAAAGCGATCCATCTTAAGTCCCACGACTTAATGGTAGTGGAAGTTGGGGTCCGAGAACCTCGGGGTGGTCCAAAGCGGATTTCACGACTCTGGGGTCAGGCAAATCGAGGCCGTAGAACCTCGGGGTATTTCAGAACAGGTCCTATGACATCGGAGGCTCGCAACTTGTGGTCTTGTGACCTCAGGGTAGTTCCACTTGTGCATCGGGAATATAAAGTGGGTCAGTCTGTACCTTGACCAGAGCTTTTCTCGATTCGTCTTCTACGATTCCGAAATCAGGTTGCCTGATTATCCTTGGTTCATTTCTCAAACGTACAATGCAACATTTTCTCGGCAATTTCTCGAAGGCCGTTAATTTTTTTTTCTTACAATGCTTCTCCAATTGCGAAGACACGTTAAAAACGCCATTCATATCGACGAACAAAGTATCTTCATCGATCCCAGCACCGTTATCCTTCTTTTTTTAATCACGAAATTATGCACGACCTGCGAAGTACATGACTCTTTCCTCGGCCAAGTAATTATTCAGAGTCGTTAATTTTCCCATCGGCAATTTGTACGCACTTTAATGTACCCTTTAATAGTATTATTACGCGGCGTGCGCTCGTAAAGACATAACTTAATCTGCCCGGTGGCCAACAGGAGAGAAAGAGTTTCGGAAGATCGTCCAGTCGGATAACGGTACACGCTCGAAATATAATTTAAAGTCCATAAATCGATGTTTGCGTGGGCTTCCGGGTACTTTCGAATATTCCTGCACTTAATAACCATACTTTTGGCGGTTCATTTTACACGCTTTCCAGTCCTTCCAGATGATACTAATTTGATCCTTATCGTTATCTGATTTATACACTCGCTCGTTACCGTAACCTGAAATTTCACGCGAAACGATAGTATTTAAATCACCACAGTGTTACAACCGTCTGAAAGATTCTTCGTTTAAACGATACAAGACTTTTATTAATAACCTTATACCGTAGATTGACGTACCGTCTCTTCTACCATTTGCACCTCATTATCCATCCAACATTTACATTTCAGCGCACACAAAATCTAACCACACCAAACAAACGTAAAATCTAAAATTCAAGAACAGTATAAAAACCACGCTAACATGCACTTATTTTTCTACGATTTCAGGTACTCCAACGAGACATAGAGGCGCACGGTCGAATCGTCAGCTCGGTCGTGAAATTAGGTGACAAAGTATTCAATCAACAGCAAGAACAACAGCAGCAGGAGCAGCAGGTACAAGAGGAGGACAAGCAGGAGCAACGAGAACCGCCACAAGCCTTGCGAGTTGCGAGATCACTGGAACGCAGGTGGCATTTGCTCTTTCTGCGAGCCTTGGAATGGCAGTGTCACATCGAAACTCTTGTATCTCGCATAAGTAGCAAGGTGAGTCTTTATATTTTTGCTGTTCTTTTTCTTCTGCCTGTGTCTGTCTGTCTATGTTGGTTTTCTTTTTCAAATTATCGAACACCGTGGGGGTATTTGTGGTACCGTTTACGTCGAGCTACATTAACCACGGTAAGTACCTGTTCAACGACCGATCGTGTGAAGCTTTCGTATGTTATGAGCATCGTTGATTCGAACCCTAATTCGAACGGTCGCAGCAGCTGGAGAAAGACTAGGGTTTCGCGTTTGTGGTCACAGAACGAATCGTTAGGTTTTATTTGCTCTGTTGTACAGAGGAAATTGCTTGTAGAATTATATTCGTAAGATGTTTTGGAAATTGTGCATTTTCTTTATTTATGATAATTACAGGAAAGGAATTATTCGAGTTGATAGCTTGCAGCTTTTAACCCTTCAAATGTAAATCTTCGTTGAGAAAAAAAATACGCGTCGAATATTTTTGGCTTCTCTAGCTGTGTGGAAAGTTTCGCGAAAATCGGTGTGTTGGAAAATTATTAATTTTTATCTGAGAAAATCTACTTTGGATGAAATTATGAATCCTAGATTTTCTTGCAATTTTAGTCACTATGGGAGCACGCGGTAACTTAAATTGTAATATTTTTCAAGTGAAAATCGCGCAAAAAAGAGGTTTGCACCTTCTGTTAACCTCTATTTAATTATTTCACCGTAAATAAGACATAAATCCGAGATAAAGATCTACCAGCACTAAAACAATAACCTCGTCATTCCCGTTCAGAGTCAAAACTCGCACAGTAGAATCGCCAACACGAAACGGCAATTTGTTACTTCACGCTCACGGTGGAAAAAAAAAAAACGAACGTAAACGCGTTGTCCTGATAAATCTTTATCCTCTCGTAATCGCGTCGATTAGAATTGCAAAGGTATTCGAGAAGGGGAGGGAAAGATCTCTGGAAGCGATTTACCAGCGATGCAAAAGCTCGATATTAGAAACTCTCCGACGGTAGATCGTTACTTTACATTAATTACAATAATATCCATTCATTTCCATGTTGAACAAGTGGCGATCGTGAGACGTGCGTTCGCGTTTTCCTCGTCTCAGATAGAGAACTCCACGGGTGTATTACACCTAATGGCAGTCATTAGCCATATCGAAATGTTTCTACTTTTCGTTGTAATCGGCGTACTTAAACGTTATTCAACATTTTCGCCGCGTCTCCTCGTGAAATTCACCTATCTACCTGTGCACGCGATCGAACGTTTTACGTGATCGCTACCTAGCTTAGACTTTTCCGCGCGTGTTTGCCTAATGGATTGTTACCGTTGTCATTATGCCCACGTTTACATGCATTCTCGGTAATTTAATCATTAATAGGGGATTTGTGGGTTAGGAGAAAGGTGTGTTTACCGCTTGACTTTTTAGCGGACAGACGTACGGTTGCTTTTATTTTCCGACTATCCGATTTTTCTTTGTTCACGAAAAGAGCAATTAGGGTTGATCGCAAGTTCACGCATTAATGGGAGAAACAAGAAGTAGGAGTTATTATTAAAAAATTGGTGAAAAATGAAACTTGTGAAATGTAGATAAGTTAATACGTAACCTTCGTGTCGCTCGGTGTTATAAAGGGTTAAGAAGAATTTTTTTTTTTCAGAATAATAGACACGAAATGAAAATTTTAATACTGCACCATTCAAAAGTTATGCTTTACAATTTTACTTAAAAATAACGTAAAACAAAGTTTTGCTATGCTTATCAGAATTTCTCGGGATGAAATACACCAATTAGAAAATAGAAGATATTCCAGCACTTTCTCGGGAAAATGAAATTGAACAAGTTCCGAGCGCAGCTTCGTAATTTCAGCGGTTTTATCACATTCCGTCACAGTATCTTGTTAAACAGGAAACATTATTCAACAACTGTTCATAAAACCCTCGTGTCTCCATAAACACGTAGCCAGAGTGCGTTCGAGCAAGATTTCGACCGCTCCTGAACTCAATTTCGTATTTTCCACGGAGCCGTATAACAACCATAAACCTGACGGTAACATCGAACAATACTATCTATGTACTTTGGAAGATACGCAATAGATAGTATCTACATATCTTCCCGGGGACTCTTTCAAAGACTCGTTTATCGCTGTTGGAGAAGGTTTCACCGTGTCTGATATCGGGTATTTCAACGAGCACGTGATAAAACTCGCGTCACCCAGCCGCGGAGAGAACGAGCGTCCGTGTCAGAGGAACAAACGAACGCGCGCTATTAAAAAGATTCCAAGACGTTCGGTGCTCTCGGTTCGGCCATTAACTCGGGGAGATCGCGTAGCGAATGCGTTCCTTTTCGTGCTCGTTCATCCTCTCTCGCGAGTCCACGTGAAAGTCCAAGCACAGCTGTAAACATTTATTCGTTTCACGGTATGGCACGCGAATCGTTGTTATTTTATTCCAAGAGAATCGACCGCCGCTTTTGAATTTCCCGCGTAATTGCGCGAGCGGGGCTTCTTAAGCGAATTCTAAGGAAGGAATCTGGGGGGGATTTCTTGTTGGCGTGAATTTTGTGAAAGTGGAAGAAATGCGGAGTATTTTTAATTGCTTATACGAGGCTTCGGTGTGATAGGGGTTTAAGTTACAATAATATGATATACGGTAGTATTTTCATTTTACAGCGGCCTGAGGAACCTTTGGAAAAAATTGAACTAGAAAGAAAAATTTTCGGGCGCTGGTAGCTTCTTTTATCTTCCAAACTCGGTTTTTCTCGGAGATACGAATTGTTAAATTTGGAGATCGAGGAGAAGTGTTGGAAATTTAAAGAGAAGAATTTTGTTTGCTCTCGAGACAGATAGAAGACGGATCGTTTTATGAAAAGTGTGAAAAATACAAATTCGACGTTCTGGATCTAGCTTATTATTCTTTTCTCTGTGGGGAGTTGAAGTATTCTCGCAAAGGTACATTTCTTGCTGGTTTCCACGAGTGTTACCTCTTTGGATCACTAAGTGTGTTAACCAGATGATTGGCTCGCATGAAGGTACCGCAATTTTCGTGCAACGAGGAAGTATGTTGGCCTCTCGATGTAGGAGGCTTGTAAGTGAATATGATAATGCCTCGGTATTCGTTGAGCAGTTTTAGCAGTGGGTGTTCGCGAATGAGATGAGATTTGTGCGGCTGAAGCGTGTCTTGTTCAGCATGATTAACAGGCAGCCGGAAATTACGGCTGATTTTTGCGTGATTCGTTGCATTTAAGTATGTTTTTCAGCTTGCGCGTGGATTACTTCCTCTGCTGTAAATGTTTTGCAAATACTGAGACTATTTACGTATTCGTTCTGTGAAATTCCATAATTGGCGAATAAAAGGAGGTTTCCCTATCAATTTTGTCGATAGGAGGAAAATTTCGTATTAAGATAGATTCGTAAATGAAAAATATGCAAAATATCAGAGTGACGGTAAAACCTTACTGACTGTGCTTTTTATGATTTTTGCACGATTCGCTGCATTTACGTTTCTGAGCTTCCACGTTGATTACTGAAGTTACTTATTTATTCACTCTAGAAAACTTCGTAATTAACGATCGATCGTATTTTGCATACAAAATAAAAGAACTTGCTTACGTCTCAATAGGAAGAAAAAGCCGCATTAAGATAAATTTGCGAAAAAATATGCGAAATATCAGAGTGACGCTAAAATCTTTGCCAACTGTACTTTTTAATTTTGCATAACTTACATTATAATTGCACAATACACCAGACGCGTTAGTAATTTTTCGCGAACGCATACGGACTTGGTTTTATCGTTTTATCGAAAGGGTTAAAGGCGATTGCGCTGGTAACGAAAGCTTCTGGGCGGGAGAAAAAGGCGCTTAATCCGGAACGAGTGTGCTCGCGCGAGAGAGCAAAGCGTATCAAGGAACATCGAGCATCGCGAAGCACGATCGTATAGGTTTGTAGGCGAGCGAGCAGAGCACAGGCACGAGAGCGTTGTCCCTGTTTTTACGGTCTCCTGGCGAAGCTACATTGCGAGCGAGCGAGGTCGCACTAAATTTACAGTCGAATAAAAAGTGTCAGCTTAGCCAGGGAAATCGTTAATTATTGGGACGAATCGTACCCGGCGAACACCGCTCGGCACAAGTCGACATATCGAATCGGGGACTGCGAGGTGTGACGATCATGTTTCGAGAATAATCCGTTCGAAGATCCCTTTTTTTTTTACTTTGCTCTACTTTTGAAGGTACCCTTTCGAATTTAAAAAATTCTGCGTCGCATACTTTTTTGACAGTGTGCAATTTTTATGTGAAACACTTCTTTGCAGAATAGGTACATAGTTTAGAAGTTATTCGTGTAGATAGAGAACGGTAATTGGTACAGCAATTAAATAGTACGGGGAGTTCCCTTAGCACAGGACGCGTAAGGTTTTTCTTAAATAAATCTCTCTACCTGTGCACACGCGACTGAAACGCGTAGAAAACTTATTTTTCTTCCTTTTGTCTCCTCTAGGAGATACGCAGAATAACGGCTCGATTATTGCAGATGTAACTAATGTCCGATATTAGGTGCCGTCCGGCGTTAAGGGAACTCCCCCTAATCGTGAAATATTAGGAGTTATCGGGTATGTGCTGGAGATTTGGAGATTGCAGTAATATGTGCATGGTGTAGCAATTAAATAGTAGTCGTGAAATGTGGATTAGGATAATTTTATTCAATTATTGAATAGAGATAGGAAATAATAGATGGTGGTATGGTAATTAAATGGTAATCGTGAAATATAACTTGAGAAAGTTCATTTCTCACTTGTTTAGAGAAATCAAGGGAATGCAAGGGATGCTTTAACTTTGGAATTTAAAAGGTGTTTCGCTAGATTGACCGAACGTGCGGAAGCATTGTCACGATTGTAAATCCACGATGAAACAGTTTCAGGTGAAATCCGTTTGACTCGCTCACGAAGACTTTCCAAATCTTTAAAGGCAAAACTGTCGACCGTTTTCCCTTCCGTCTCGATAAAAAAACAAAAACAAATTAACATTAGTGTCGAAATTT